AGAAATTACACTTTTCTGTTTAACAGACTTCCTGGTATTTAGTTATTTATGCCAAGTCTACTTCTTTGTGCAGCTCTAATGTGTTTGCAAATTGATTTAAATTGAAAAGCCTAAAATGAGAGTTGTGTGGAATATATATCAGCAAATTCTGAAACTCAAAAAATAATTCAGGCAGAACAATTTTCTTTATTTAATATCCCAAAGAGCAGACGTATATAGAATAGGAAGCCTCAAAGTGAAACAGATCACCTTTCATATGCATAACAATTGCATTTTATAAATAATAACTAGCTGTACCCATTGCAGCTACGCTTGCAACCAAAGGACCCAGTATGGAATGTAGATTTCAGTGATACCACTCAGAAACCATGCCATAAACACTGTGTGTACACCTTAAGCAAAACTGCCATACATGTTTTGATGAGCTTGTTTAAGTCATAGCTCATCAACGATAGGAGCTTCCCCCATGCAAGACCTTTCCGATGAGGTATAAATCATGTCTCTATGTCAATCGGTTATTGCATTCTTGGCGAACAGACAGAAACACAGACATCTCGTCTTTATTTGTGTAGATAACCAGAACTGTTAAAGGAACATGAAATTCCTGAACTGATAATGTTTACCCAGAGAAATGTTTTATTTGCCTGAGAAGGAAGATGAGACAGAATAGCAATGTATCATTTTATAAAATCGTAGACAAGTGCAAATCTACATGATATCATTTTGTCACACAGAAATAATTGGTCCTTTTAAGATAAGTTCCAACATATTAATACTTTGACCTCACTGTTCAGGTTAACACCAACAATTTATAAAATAAATTGCAATTGTACAGTGCCTTTCACGTTGGGAGGACGTCCCAAAAAATCCCAAAATATCCTATTTTAGCTGCACAGTTAGCATTGATTCAGTGCTACAAGGTTTCGGAAGCATCAATTTGATTCTCTGTCCTAATCCCAAAACCAGGAATCAAATTATTGCATTCAATGGAGTGTAAATCGGGTTTGCACTGCAAGAGATTCCAAAAGAGTTTTAAAATTTGAAACAATTCCTCATCCCCCTTAAGGTTTTCGATATTATTATAGAGCAGGTCACATACTGACTCATTTATAACATTAGAATAGCAATATTCGGGACCAGTTAGCGCAGCTCCCCCCAAGCCCTCAGCAAATACGATTTCAGAGTAGAGAATAGAAGTGGTGTTTGCCATTCCAAATGCTTTACTGCTGGAAGGGGTAATGAATTGCTCCAGCAGTACAAATCCAGCATATGTAGTGGTTGTGTGTGTGTAGATGTGTGTATAGTATTTCAGGACTTTCGGACAACTTTCCCATCCCCTCTTTAATGCCCCTCTCCCTCTCAATTTGGGCTTCTGGTCAGTTGTGTAAAATCCTCCCAACGTGAAGACTCTATGTAATGTAAATTAGACAGAACCTTCAAGAAAAAAAATGATAATAAATTGGTCACTTCAATCCACGACTGTTTGTGGAACACTCTTGTGCGCAATTGGTTGCCACGTTTCACCCACAAATATACAAATATACGTATATACAATATGCATATACAAATAGTCAATTCACTTTACAGTATATTCTGTGAAGCGCATTGAGCCATCTCAAAAATGTAAAAAGCGCTATATCAAATGCAAGGATTATGATTATTATTATTATAAATTATTATTGTTGATGGAAACTGAGTCTAAATCTACAGGAGCCAGCTTGCTCTTGATGCTAGCTTTGGGTTGCTAATTTGTAAGTGCTGAAAGGGTTTATGGGCAACCTGGTTTTGCCACATGAAGTCTCTCAGTTTGACATTTGTGGGGGTCTCGTATTTGTAATCCAGAAAAATTGGAACTATCATGTTTTATCAGCCAGGTGTCTAATACTTGCAGAAGCCCATCACCATGCTTAAAAGTATTCAAACTGGACTGAGAGTTTCATGCACCCCAACCATTTATAGAAATTCCCATACCTAGAATGGAATCCAGACTCTCTCCCCAAAGGAACACTATCTTAGTATTTTTGATGTAAAGCAACATTATCTGTAACAAAACCTGGAACTCTATTCCTGTGCCAATTGTACTCCAAGCAGATAAGAGAATTATTTTTCTATTTCACCTGGACAGCTTCCATTTCATTGGAGACGCAGTTCTTTGTTTTGCTCCAGGTTTCGAATAATCAAGTGTATTTGAACATAGAAACTCTTCCTGAAGTATTTACTGAAACGTTGTTCTGGTGACAATGGGAACTTGTCTTTGAAGCCTGACAATGCTGCCCTCTCTGTATCATTGTTAAGTCTCCATAGTTGAACCGTGCACAGTATCCTTCGCCTCTTGCAGAGCAGCAAATCAAAAGTGTTTTCTGTGACCGCTGCACTATATGGATATTTTTTTCAGTTTCAACATTAGATATTTTTTACCTTATTGTCTCTTTTGTTAGATGCTCATTGGAGTCACCTCCTCTCTTGATATCACTTTCATTCAAGACTGCCCGAGCGCCTGCTTGCGATGAATACCAGGCCAGAATTTGCTGGCAGAATACGCACTTTCACAAAACGTGGTGGGACTTTGTTGATTTTCCCCCTTGCCCCTGACCAAACACAGTGCTGCATTGCTAGGAGACCAATTGAAGGCTCATTGGAAGGAAATGACAATTGAAGTTTGACTCTGTGTCCCTTTGAGAACCCCACACTGCACTAGAGCTACCGCATTTGGTTTTAACTGTTTCATTACAATAATACAATGTGTTGAAGTATTTGGTTCACGTTAAAATTATGAACAATTAAAAGTGTGCAACAATATTACAAGGATGGGCCAGTACTGTCAAATGCCCCTAGAGTTTTTAATGTTGTTGGAAGTCTCTTTGGCAAGAGTTTCCAACAATAATAATCCATACATTTGATGTAGCATCTTATTCCATTGTCAAGGCATCTCAAAGCACTTCACAGGATTTTATTGTGATGTATAGTGACTATTTCGTTTTGTAGGCAAACACAGCAGTCAATTTGCATGCAGCAGAGTCCCACAAATTGCCATGATCAATTTTATTTGGGGAATTGTTAGACATGGGGAGAATTTGTTTCTCTTTCCAAGTATTGCCATGGGATCTTTACCATTCACCTGAACAGGCAGACAGGACCCTTATTTAATGTCTCATCTGAAGGATGGCACCTCCAACAATGCAGTGCTTCCCCAGTCTAGATTATGTGAATCCAACATCCCAATATAGAGCTTGAACACGTTACCTTCAGACTCAGAGACAAGAGTGCTGCCACCTGATCAAGGCTGTCACCCTAATAAATTTTTAGTTCCATAATTTGCACAGGTGGAATAGTGAAATGTAAAAATGTTTTATCACACATAACAAGCTGTTTGATTCAAAATAATTGCTCTTCTCCCCATATGTTATTTAATCTAAGAATGCCTCCTCTCACATCCCTGCCTCACATGAATTCCACATGTATGAAAATGGTTCAAGACAGTTTCAACTTGCTTTGAAAAAAACTGAGCAGGACATACTCATGAATGAAGGGCATTCTATTTCAGTGGATAAATGAAGGCTCATTGGATTTTAGATGTATGCAGATGTGTTCATCACGTACTGGAGGAAAATCTCATCCACACTGTTAAAAGGCATACACTGTAATACAATATGAAATTCCCTTCTCTTTTCAAATAATAATAATAAACCTTGCATTTGATATAACACCTTATCACATCTTCGAGACGTCTCAAAGTGCTTCACAGAATATACTGTAAAGTGAATTGACTGTATATTTTGTGGCTGATACACGGCAGCCAATTAAGTACAAGTGTCCATAAACAGTTGTGGATTGAGTGACCAAATTTTTTTTTGATTGCCACAAGATCTTTTAATGTCCACCTGAACTGGCAGAAAGGACCTCCGTTGACATCTCATCCAAAAGACGGCACAATGTAACGCACCCACAGGACTGTATTGGATTATCATTAGTGATGAAACTTATATATCTTATATCATCAATTTGCTGATAAAATGTAGTGAAGTAAGACAACCTAATATTATAATGCTGGAAGTGAAAACATTAAAGAAAAAATCCCTGCGGAAATCCCATTGTTTTATGTTGGGTGCCTGACGCTCAGAACAAAATATTCCTTGCAGCATAAAGACTGACAGTAAAAGGACTGAAGAGGACAGTACATAGAACAGAACCTTAAAGAAATGCATGAGAAGCAGTACATCAAGGATCATGTCTGGAGTGTGTGTCAGNAAAAAATGAAGTTCTCAGATCTGAATTGTCCTTAAGCAGTTCTACAGTTTGTAATACTGTAGTTGTCACAAACATACAAAAACAATTCCTCCTATTCTCCAACATTAATCATCTCCACCATCTCATCTCCACCCACGTTCATCCGTCCCCTCCATCTTCACCTCTGATTTGAAATGGGTCATGGACTTACTTGTGATAATGATCAATAAAATCTGTCTGATGCACCTCACTCCTCTTGCCTTCATTGCACCACACCCCTCTCTCTCTGCCTTCCACCATTGACCTACCTTTTCCCCCATTGACCTACCTTTTCCCCCCATTTCTCCCTCATCCCACTCCACCCTAATCACCCACGTGAAACCTACTGTCTGCTCTATTGACCCCTTCCTCACACAGCTTCTGACCAACAGTTGGCCCTCCCCTATCCCCTGGAACTCCCTCGCTCCCTCCCTCCTTCACTCTACCTTTCTAGCTATCTTCAAATCCCACCTGAAAATCTACTTCTCCGGCTGCAAATACAGATCCCTCTGCCCTCCACCTCCTCCCTTGCTCCAAGTGCATTATGAAGGGGCTGTATATAAATGCAAGCTGTTATTGTTGTAAGAATTATTATCGTTTTGCCATAAAATATATCATTATAAAACCTGTTGAATATTAGGAGACATTTTGCAGCCATTCAGTTTTTATTCTTAAGCTGGTGATTTAGCTTGCAGCAAATTCACTTCCATCTCCTTTCCACATGTCTTTTCCAGGTGACAAGTGCAAATTGATCGAATACAGCAAACTGAAAAACATGCTGCTGGATCTCCAGAATCAAAAGTACATCCGGCAAGAAAATGAAAAAGAAAATGAAGACAAAATGACTCTGAAAAAGTTGCTGGTGGATAACATGTTTGAATATTTTGATTCAAATGATGATGGACTTGTAGACAGCAATGAACTGGCACAGGTGGGTGGATGAATCTATGAGAATGGAATCAATAAAAGGGTGTTTTGTGTTGCTCTTTTCAAGTATAAATTGGAAGAATCATAGCTGAGAACAGAGATTGTTCTCTTCATAGATCTTTATACGTTGACTGTTTCAAAAGAATCTGATCTAACTCCGAGCCTTGTTGTAAGAATAAAACAAAAGGGAGATGAAATACATCAGTCAGACATGCTAATACCATTGATCAGTTGATTTAATCTTGAAGGCTTGAAGCCCAGAGGAGTGTTGCTGAGGCTGACATCTACATACTGCCTCTAAGCTCCCTGCCGATCCTGGGAAAACCATGTGAACAAGTTGCGTGCAGTCAGTGCATGAATATATTTTTGTATATGTATGTCCACATGTAAGTGTGTGTGCATGTACATGTGCGTGCAAGGGGAGGGAGGGAGAGACTGGGGAGGTTGGCAATAGGGAAAAGTTTTCAGAATTTGCACCAGTCTTCTAGTGTTGTAACAGGAATGTAAAATAATAACAATCTTTACATTTGATACACCTTTCACTACGGGAGTTAGTCTCAAAGTACTTCACAGGTTTACAGTGCAGTGCAATGACTGTATTTTGCAGACAAATACGGCAGCAACTTTAAACACAGCAATGTTTCACATGAAGTGAATACCCAATTTTATTTGGATTATATTTTTTGCTAGGAGAAAAATAGATTTTCTTCAAATAGTGCCATGGAATCATTATCGTCCACCCAAAACAGGCAGTCAGGACCTCCTTTTTACATCTCATCTGAAGGACGACACCTCTGACAATGCAGTGATCCAAAGCACTGCATTAGACTATGCCCAACATTGAATTCAAACCCCCAACCTTCTGATTCAACAACAACAACAACAAGATTCCACTTATAGAGCGCCTTTCACGTCGGGAGGACGTGCCAGGACGCTGTACAGTTGGGGATTCAGAGATGAGTATGCCACGAACTAAGGCAAACTGATGCTCAAATCACACCTAAATGTATTTCTACATTGCTACTCTGAGCCACCTGCTAAGAGCTGCTTGAGAGATCACCATGAGTTGTTTTGTACTCCAATCCTCCCTACTTACCTTTAGGAAATCATTTTAATTTCCATTTGATTTTGCCTGGAGTGCAAATGAGACTTATGAGATCTTAACCTTAACTATAACACAGGTCCACACTGTGTCCTAGCACTGTTGGAGGGGAGTAGTGAAAAATATTCAAAATTAGACACTTTTGTTTTGACGGAGAACTATAAAAAAATCACTCTCCTTCAGCATCTTAATTCATACATCTATAAGTTCGTCAATTCATTTAGTGCAAGGTGGATGCTTCATATTTTGTATTGAATGGGGTTGATTTATCACTGCACAAAACTGTAGCTAGGACAAGCATGTCTAACCACAAGTTTTACTTTTTCACATATCTCTAGAGTTCTACTGATACTGTTCAAAGCCTTTATGCTTGATTTGCACCTTCCACCTTGCAAACTTCCACCTGTCAAATAAATACTTCTTAGCAGAGGATAAAATGAGGAGAATTAAGATTGAAAGATATAAGACCTCTGGCTACTCACTGACACTACAAGACTTGTAGGTTGCAAGATACAGAGCCATGACCAATTTTATCTGGAACATTGTTGGCCAGGACACCAGGAAAAAGTCCCTTTGCTTTTTGAACAGTACCATAGAATCTTTATTGTCCACATAAACAGGCAGATAGGGCCTCGGTTTAATGCCTCATCTGAAAGACGGTATTTCTACCAATGCAGCACTCCCCCAGCACTGCACTGGAGTGTCATCTTAGACTGTATGAGTTCCAAGTCTCATGGGGCTCGAACCCACAATCATCTGAGTGCTACCAACTGGGCCAAGTTGACACATTGTGTGTCCTTCTTGTATAAAGTAACTGCTGACAGGTATCATTTAATTATGTTTCATAGAATCATAGAAATTTCCAGCACAGAAGACCCATCATGTCTGCACCGCTCTCAGAGCAAGGAGTCCATTCAATCACATTACCCTGCCCTACCCCACAACCCTTCAAGGGTCTGTCCTTCATGTACCCTCTCTGCTTCCTTCTTGAAATCCATTTTGGCCTCTTCCTCAGTTACCTTAGTTATCAGGGCATTCCACATCCCAACAACTTTCTGAGTGAATAAAATAGCCTAAGATTTCCTAACACCCTTCTTGTGACTTACCTTATAACCATGACACTTAGTCACTTAAATCCTACCTATATAAATAATTTCTCCCTATTTACCCTGTGGGAATCCATAATAATTTTGTACATTTCTATCAGGTCCTTTCCCAACCTTCTTTGCTCAAATTAAATAGACCCCACTTTTCCAGTCTCTCCTCATAGTTAAAGCTGGGGATCATTCTTGTAAAATGTATCTGACCACTTTCCCTTTAATTTCTCGATGCCTGGCATGAGGACAGATTATCTTCCATGAATATTATTAGTATTTCAGTTTTCTCTGAGTAATATATCATTCCACTTTAATGTAAGACTGCATATGTAAAAGAAATTTCAAGGCATTTTAAATGGAAATAAATGATAACAAAAAGTGAATGTAATGAAAAGTATTCAGTCTGGTGTCCCCCAGGGCTCTGTCCTCGGCCCTCTCCTCTTTAATATCTACATGCTCCCCCTCAGTGACATCATCTGCAGATATGGAGTCAACTTCCATATGCATGCGGGTGACACCCAACTCTATCTTTCGCCTCCACCCTCAACTCCAGGACCACTGCTGTCCTGACAGACTGCCTGTCGGACATCAAGTCTTGGATGAGGGCAAATTTCCTACAGTTGAATGTGAACAAGACTGAGGCCCTCCTGATTGACTCACACCAGCGCCTCAGCACCTCAGGCTCTGGCAGCAACAAACCTCCATGGTTGCACACTATAACTCACCAAGCCAGTCAGGAACCTAGGTGTCTTGTTCGACCCTCAACTGTCTTTTCTTCCCCACATCCAAGCCATGACCCGCTCTGCCTTCCCTCACCTCCGTAACATCGCCTGACTCCGCTAATACCTCACCCGTCAGGCCGCTGAAACTCTTGTTCATGCTTCATCACCTCCAGGCTCGACTATGCAAATGCCCTGCTTTGTCGGCCTTCTCAACTCATCCCTCCACAGGCTGCAGATAATCTAGAATTCTGCAGCCCTTGTCCTCTCCCGCACCAAACTCCGTGACCCCATCTCCCCACTCTCGCTCGACTCCACTGGCTCCCTATCCTTCAGAGGATCCAGTTCAAGATCCTGGTCCTCACCCACAAAGTCCTCCATGGCCTCGCCCCACCCTACGTCTGCGGCCTCCTAACCCCTTACCAACCCGCCTGCTCCCTTCGCTCAGCTGGCTCCGGCCTGCTCCACATCCCCCAACCCACCCCCCCCACCATTGGCGGGAAAGCCTTCAGCCACTCTGCCCCCAACCTCTGGAATTCCATTCTCCAGTCACTCCACCTCACCCCCTCCTTAGCCTCCTTCAAGTCCCGCCTCAAAACCCTCCTCTTCGACCATGCCATCGGTCACCACCCTTCCCCTCCCCTCCCTTCTCCCTCCCTGACCCCAGCTCAGGTCTGAAATGTTATACACTGTCCAGCGCCTTGGGACATCCTCCCGATTTGAAAGGCGCTATACAAATGTAATCTTGTTGTTGATTTTGTTGTTAAGGAACTTAAGGTCTTCAAATCCTCTGATCTCTATAAGCCATGCTTTCCAAAGACTCCCTGTCTTTCCACTACTGGGTTACTTTAATCCACTCTTTGAAACCAGCCATCTGATCTTCCCATCATGTAGTTTTAATGAATGGTAATTGATTTTTCGTATAGANTTTTTTTATAAAACGAAAATGACTATGAAGCAAATGGTTTGTTAGGGCTCAAAACCTTAGGCAAGTTTCCTTACTACTCTATTTACCTAGCAGTAAGTAGGAACATGGGTGTTAGTTGATTGGCGGTAATAATCCACCCCCCAAAAAAAAATTGGTCAATCATTACACGACTGTTTGTGGGACACTTCGACTATTCAAATGCCCTCCTTGCCGGTCTCCCCAGCTCCACCATCCCACAAAATCCAGCTGATCGAATACTCTGCCACCTCCAAACTCACCCGTACGTACTCCATACCCCCATCACACCAGTGCTAGCAAAGCTCCACTGGCTGCATATCGCTGAATGGATCAATTTCAGGAACCCCACACTCGTTTTCAAATCCCTTCATGCCCTGACACTTCCCTACCTTTTTGACCTGCTTACTCCCCAACACACCCCAACAATTCACGTTGTTGTCATGGGCAATTCGATGCTGCGTTTCACCCACAAAATACAACGTTAATTCACTCTTCAATATATTCTATGAAGCACTTTGAGACATGTCAATGACGTGATAAGACTCTGTATCAAATGCAAGCATTATTATTATTGGGCAATATTGAGGAGTTGTTGAAAGGCGAAATGGGTCACGGCATGAATTTGGGGTTTGAAGGATAGCTGAGGGTCGAAAAGGACACCGAGGTTTCGGATTAGCTCAGTGAGGTGAAGAGTGCAGCCATGAATGGTAATAGTGTCAGCCGCTGAGGTGAGGAGGCGCTGCAGGGAGCCAAGCAGGAGGGCTTCTGTCTTGCCAACACTGAGCTGCAGGAAGTTGGCTCTTGTCCAGGACTTGGTATCAGACAGACAATTAGCCAGGACTTGAGGATGGAGGTGGTGGGTTAGAGTTGGGTGTCATCCGCATATTGAAGAGGAGCGGATGAGGACAGAGCCCTGAGGGGCACCACGCGTGACAGTGTGGGGGCTAAAGGAAAGTGCATTAATGCAGACTGCAGTGCAGACTGTGGGAAAGGTAGGATTGGAACCAGGCAAGAACTGAATCTGAGGTGCAGGTGAGAGGAGAGGCAGTGGAGAAAAACAGAATGGTCAACAGTATCAAAAGCGGTCAAGAAGAATGAGGAGACAGAGATAACTCTGGTCACAAATGGACAGAATGTCATTTGTCACCTTGACCAGGGCTGCCTCTTTGCTGTGAGCAGCACAAAACCCAGATTGGAGGGATTCAAGGAGGAAATGTTGGGAGAGGAAAGAACAAAGCTGGGAAACGACAACTCGTTCCATGACCTTTGACAGAAAAGGAAGGTTTGAGATAGGGTGGTGTGCATACATAATAACGACCCAATGACTCACGCAGTGAGTTGTTCGAATCTGGAACGCATTGCCTGAAAGGGTGGTCGAGGCCGATTCGATAACTACTTTTAAAAACGCCGTGGATGGGTATTTGAGGAGGACGGGTTTGCAGGGTTATGGGGAAAGGGCTGGGGAGTGGGATTGACATTAATTGCTCTATTCTAAGAGCCGGCACAAACTCGATGAGCCGAATGACCTCTTTTTGTGCTGTACAATTCTATGATTCTATGATTCAATGAATGACAAACACAACTAATCATTATTTAACAGTAACAAAGAAAAATACACAATGTAACTTTTGATGATGTATTTATTGCTTGGGATTTGTTCAACATTGGTTTCCCGAAACAGCCTGCAGTCCCAAAGTGTAGTATTTGATCTAATGATTGTTACAAAATGTTCCTTAACAGATGTTTACTGATGATTAACTGTCCTTAAGGCCCAATTCTGCTTACATTTACAGCACTATTGTATGAAAGGTTATGAGCACGCTGCTATTGGAATTAGCATTCCTTGTTTGCATGCCAGATAAGTTGCCTGGTGTAATTAGTCAAAACTTGATATTCAGTAACAGTAATGATAGGTCTTATAATAATATTAATAATAATGATAATAATTATTGCATTTGATATAGCACCTTATCATGTCTTCTAGATGTCTCAAAGTGCTTCACAGAATATACTGTAAAGTGAATTGACTGCAAATGTTGTGGGTGAAACACAGCATCAAATTGCGCACAGCAGTGTCCCACAAATAGTCGTGGATTGCGTGACCAAATAATTATTATATTTTTAAAGGGATTAGGACCCCCAGAAAAGCGATCCTCCAATCGACTAACAGCCAGGTCCCTGCTTACTGCTGGATGAACAGAGGCACGTGGAGCAATTTGCCCAACATTTTGCCCTGCCTGAGATTTGAACCCAGGTCCTCTCGAGTGCTCTAACCTACAGCTCTAGCTATAGGTGAAAAAGTAGCACAGTGAAAAAAAGAGTCTCTGTAATGTTAAAACTATAGTCTCCGTATTGTAGAAAACAGTGTCCGTATTGTGTAAAACACAGCCTCCACATCATAGAAAACACTGTTGATTCCCACAGTAAGCTACTTTCAGTGAAGGATACATATGAGGAAAATAAATATCATTGTTAAACAGATCTGAAAGGAAATATTTTAAGTGTAGAAATATTTATAAATGTAAGAATTTAACTAGCTAGTTTTAATACAAACATATTTTAATCATGAGTTAGCAGGTACATACTTAAATCAGCAATATTTGTAATTTAGAAGTACATTATGAAAATGCAGTGGTTATGTGCACAAATAAGGAAATTATAAAGTGAATATGAATGCATTTAAATATGTAAAAAAAATTAGCATGGAATGAGAAAAGGCTGCTCCTCTCACACACCATGTACAACCCAGCCTCTCATGGGCACTCTAACCCATTTAAATCTCTTGATTAAGTTTAGCAAAAATAAACCCCGATGTTTGTGGAAGAAAACTCTGAAATGTCAATCCATTTTTAGTCCTCCACTATCCAACCCTGGCCTGCTGCCGTCCGCAACCAACAGTCACCCCTTCCTGCCTTCCTTGCCACAGCAGTGCAGTAGCCAATTTGTATGCAGTATTTAATCATTTTAGAATATCATCCCAATCTGACACTGTCTCACTCCCAATCAAATATTTGTCCATATTCTTAGAAAGGATATTGTTTCACTGGACAGAGCACAGTGTAGATTTACATGGACATGGGATATAAACACTGTCACGAATCAGTTAGGCCAAATGGTCTGGTTCTGTGCCTTATTGTTCTATATAACTCCACGTAATTCTTTTTGAAGGAGTTGATCAACTTGGCCCGATGTCTTTTTGTGAGTCTGTTCTACAATTACACTGCTCTATGGGGAGCAAGGCACATCTCCAATATGTGATCAACAACAGCAAAAAAAATTACATTTACATAATGCGTTTTACATCAGGTCTTCTCACTTTTTTTAAAAAACTTCTAGTTCTGCCTGGTGTTAAAATGTAGAAAGAATTTCCAATGCATAATACATGTTACAGTGAATCAGTCTTTTAAACCAGATTAGGATCTATCAGCGGACTGTTAACTGGTTTTCTAACTCTAATGGATTACATTTAAGAAGGAAGGAGCAGGTCAAAATGTTGCCATTATAAAATCACAAGATGGAAAGGAAAGATGGAAAATGAGTGCCTAATTGACTAAATCAAAGAAAAAACATGTGGCTCCAAAGCATTTAGCGTGAATAAAGCACCATTGTGGGATACATGATATGTATTTTTTGAAAGAAAAATGTGGATTTGATCACTCGTGAAAGATGCAAATTATTTTGTCTGCAAGTGATTAGTCTATGCTCCATTGAGGTGCTGGGGGTGTGAGATATTGTTGGAGGTACCATCTGCCTTTGTAAATGGATGTTAAGATTCCATGGCACTGTTGGAAAAGTGAAAGGAGTTTGTCCCAGTATCCTGGCCAAAATTCTCCAGATAAACAAAAGGCAAAATACCACAGATGCTGGAAATCTGAAATAAAAACAGTCGTCGCTGGGAATACTCAGCATCTATGGAGAGAGAAAAGTCACGAAAGGTCATCTGACGAAAGGTCATTGACCTGAAACGTTAACTTTCCTCTCTCCATAGATGCTGCCTGACCCACTGAGTGTTCCCAGCGACTTCTGTTTTTAATCCCCAGACAAAATTGGTCATTCACTTCATGACTGTTTGTGGGACACTGCTGTATGTAAATTGACTGCCACAGTCGATGACTGTAGTCACTCCATTTTATAGTAAATCTTGTGAGACCCTTTGAGACATCCTCCCAACATGAATGGTGCTTTCTCAAATGTAAGGATTATTATTGTTATACAGAAAGCATTGCAGGAAGTTGGCTGGAGAAATGAAAAATTCTCAAGTTGAAGCTCTTTAACTGATGTTTGACTTTTTCATTTTCTGCCCTTGATTCCTATGCCAATCCCTTAACATTTATGGTAATTATTGAAGTTGGTTTATATTTCTGCTTTTTTAACATAAGGAAGGTGCTTGTTCTCTCATTTTCTCTCCACTGCAAACTTCCTTATGTCTGAATTGGAAACGTAGTTATGTGATGATCTCAGTTTGTAGCTTTTATGCAACCAAAGTAATTCTTACCGTATTTGTCTCTTTATCAGGTCATTAAACAGGATGGGCTTGGAAAAGATCTCTCAGAATGCTCTCTCTTTGATCTATTAAAATATGATGACTATAACAGTGACAAGCATCTGACACAGGAAGAGTTCTACAGAGCATTCCGTAAGTCGAAAATACTTTGGCTATATTAAAACAGCAGAATAAGTCAAAATGAATACAACAGATAACAGTATTATATCACAGAATGTATTGTTCATTGCAAAAGGCAACATCTATGCAATGTTATAGAAATATTCCCTTTATGAATTTTCGGGCTGTTAAAATGTGCTCTCTAAATAAAACTTCACAATTCTTTTGCTGTGCACATACAGCAGAAATACGTGGGACCAGCATTCTGCTAGTAAGGGTATTGTTACTAATGAGTAAGAACATTAAGAGGCGATTGTCTTGTCATTGGTAAATTGATGGACCTCAGTGAATAAGAATAACCTATTCTCCTCTGGTCTGTAACTGTTTGAAAATTGCTGCCATGACTCTGTGATGTGGAAAAGCTCCTAAACTCACACCTTACTAGAGATCTCAGTTCTTCATCTCAGTTTGTCATGCGTTACACTGTCTGAAGCGATTTTTATCAGGAAGCTGAATTTAAATTACCTGCGGCAAAATCATATTTGACTCCAAATGTTGGTTAGTTTATAATGATTTAGATATGACCAATAACTGTGCCTTTAAACAGTGATGATTATTTAGGCTCCACTAGCTCCCTATTGCAGATATGGTTGACTTCAAGATCTTCACATTCACGTACAAATCACTTCATGCCCTGGCACCTCCCTAGCTCTCTGCTTACACCCCATTCCTCTACCTCTAAACTTGCTCTGGCCACCTGATCATCCTATGTCTGCTCAATCTACCATTGGCAATCGTGCTATGCCCCGAAAATCTGGAACTCTGCCTCAATTCCTCCCACTTACCCCCTTCGATTTCAAGATCCTCATCCTCACCTACAAGGCCATTCACGGCCTTGCTCCCTCCTACCTCTCCGACCTACTATCCCCCTACCTACCTGCCCGTACCCTCCGTTCCTCTGGCTCCGGTCTGCTCCACATCCCCCGCCCCAACCGCCCTACCATCGGTGGCCGGGCCTTCAGCCTCTCAGCCCCGAGGCTCTGGAACTCTATCCCCCAGTGCCTTCGCCGCCTCCTCCCTTTCCTCCTTCAAGGCCGGTCTCAAGACCTTTCTCTTTGACCGTGCCTTCAGCTCCTCTCTAGAATCTCTACCCCCTCCTCGCTCCTTCCCTCCCCTCACCCTGACCATTTCCCCCCTGCTCGGGTCCTGACCTAACTGTCCAGCGCCTTGGGACGTCCTCCCGACGTGAAAGGCGCTCAATAAATGGAATCTTGTTGTTGTTGTTCTTGTCTATCTTCAGATTACGTGTTTCAAAAATGCAAGTTACTATTTGTAATCAAGTGATCAACCATTGGGCAGGTTGCTTGACACACAGAAACGTATCTCGTTGAGAAGAATTATTATTGCTGCAATTGATTAGAAGGCTTTTGTTTCTAAGTTCAATCTTTTAGTCAACATACATACCATTCACAAGGAAAAACACTAAGTCCGTGATTGTTTTGTAGTCTTTTATTCCCTATCTTTCTCACTCTCTTGGGTTCGGAATAATCATGTTGCTACCAAACATTCCCAATCTTAGCCTTTCTCTCATTCACATAGAAAGACCTATTACAAAAGTAATTTACAATCTGAAGTTTCATCTAACAATGATGGAGGATTCATTGTTTCAAGACATTTTGTATATGTCTATGGGGAAAAAAATCAATGCAAACTTTTACAAGACACAATTTGGTGAAAGATAAATAGCAACGTTCACAGAATATCAAAAGAAAATTGCTGCCCTTCATACAGAGTGGATGCCCAACTACAATGTATGTTTCATATGTCTGTAGCTCCTTCTAATAAGTGGCATCAAATTCATATTTTGTCGATTCTTTAAGTACTTTGTTAAAGAAAGATGAAAGCCATTTAACCTAAACAAAACAATAGATTTTTTTTAAAAAATTAGGATTGTAAGACACAAGAATAGAATTTCAACTAAAATAAATAAAAGTTGGGTTTTCAATCTCAATCAAATATTTCATACTGATTTTCATATTTTGTTTGAGACAAGTGTAATAGTTTAAGTGCCTCATTGCTGAAGACCTGTTGTAAGATCTCTATACGGGAGCAGTGTCCGATCAATATTTTCAGTCCAAAGAAAATAATGGAGCAATATGCTTTACTGCATGCATTAAACATGAGGGCTTTCTCCTTGTTTAGAAGATTGCTGCAAGATTTTATAGATAGAAAGTATCAAAAAGAAAATGAAGCCAAAGTAGAAGGTTGTGATTTTAATATTATATCACCAATATGCTGGATGACACCTTGAGCATATTGAGTTTACTGGGTATGCATCTATGAATAACAAAATTGAGAATGGAAATAATGCCTTTGGTCTGACTACAAGATCAAGCACAGTACATTCAAGCAGTGATATTAAAAAAGATATTTTATGCCGCATGTGAGGAGAGGAGCTCTGGGTTATTTCAAGCGTTCAAGCTTATCAACAATTCAAAAGAAACTTGCTGAGATTTGAGACTAAAGACACTGCACAAACCACCAACAATACCCTTGCTCTCCATAGCTCTTAACATCACAAATTGTCATGTGGTGCAACATGAAGCTGCCAGAAAGAGGAGGAACTGCTACCGTGTTGTGAATAACCTAATAACCAGCAGATGTATGAACTAAAGAGGGAAGCATCAATAGGATAAGCATTGGAGGTTCAAGAGATCATAAAATAAGACTGATTTTAATGCATATTTCGCAACTTTTTGAAAGTTTAAGCATATATAGCTACTGGATTGCTTTATCCTGTTACATCCACACAAACATGACCAAATTGGTGAGATATTTTCCATTGCTGCATTGTAAAATTCCACTTCAGTATTCCTGCCTTTTACAATCTTCGTGTTTGATAATCATTACAAAGCAATTTCAGAAAGTGTGAAACAAATTAGTGCTTCAGAAGGGTTGAATATAGATCTTTATAGGTTTTAGAAAGTGCTGGAAATACCTCTGTAAATCTCAGGAGATATGTGAGTTTCAGGAGAGCTGTGAAATTTGGTAACATAAATTAAGAAGCATGTATGTCCTCAAATATTACTCAATAGCAATAGATAATCAAATACTCTGGTGTGAAGCATTTAGGGGTTTTAAAGCTAATAGCATCTAAAACAACAGAAGAATGATTCTTTCTTACAATAATTATCCTTGCATTTGATATAGCGCCTTATCACGTAGTCGAGACATCTCAAAGCGCTTCACAGAATATACTGTGAAGTGAATTGACTATACATTTTGTGGGTCAAAACACATACATCAGTGTCTCACAAACAGTAATGGATTCAGTGACCAAATTCTTTTTTTGAGGGATTTTTACCCCCTGAAAGCAATTAACAACCGGGTTCCTACTTAATGCTAAGTAAACAGAAGTTTGTGGAGTAAGGAAGCTTGCCCAAATTTTCACCCTGCCCAGGAATTGGACCCGGACCCTCTCACTTGTGAGGCAAACAATTTATATGCTTCCATCTCTTAGTCAGATGGAAACATTACTTTTTACTTTGACCACAAAATAAGTTGGGGTTGTTCTAGGAAAGGCTTTCGGTTATATTACAGATGTAAATGAGTCATCTTGACAACATGATTATGCACTAAATGAAATGCAAGGATTATTATTACTTAGAAGTTAAAAGGATTTTAAATACCTTTAAAATATGCTTTAAATTGTAAGTGTCCAAAACAATCACATTGGAGAAACTTATTAGTGAACAGATGATTTACTTCTGTGCACCCAAACTACTGCTTTCCAGCATAAATGATGCATCTTCAAAGAATGTTTTTTATTGAAAGCTTTTTTGTTAAAGGCCTTGTGAAATGTGAAAGCTCTTATTCTTATCCATGGATTACTGCAAACAAGACATCCATTGCAATCATCTTCAGGCGTTATTTGAAACTCTGCTCCTGACTCTTAAAGTGTTATTTCATGGGTGTGAATAACTTTTACTTTCATCAATGTAGTTCTTTATTTTCTGCCCCCTTTAGTATTTATTTCCTTTCCGGAAGATAATGGCCTATGGTGCGTTATAGAGCGCACATGTGCCAATAGCCCTTTAGTACCTTGTCTAAGTAACAGTTCTTCATATAAGAGTTTAGACAGTCAATGTCCACAGCTGGTGAAGTTTGAGGGAGAGAGGTGAGATCATCACAGTCAAGCTGCATCCTGTCCAAAGGCATGAATTTTTCAGCATTTTGTCACTAAACAGCAATCAGAACTGTCTTATCTGTCGTCTGATCCAGCATTGGATCAAGATACGATAATGGGAGACTGTCACAAAAAGATCATCTTTCTTTGTAAAGGTTGCATTGTTCATTTTCAAAAAAGGTAGGACTCACAATTGATCTTTTCGAAATAAAAGATGGATTCTTTCACCAGCAATGGTGGTGTCACAGGTTACATTCTACCGCATCTGCCATTTAAAATTAAATGCCTGCACTCAACTGAGCAGCAGCTGTAACGTAATTGCATCTTTGTCTCACAAAACTCTCAGTGATTTGGAAGAGAAGGGGTCTGTTTTGGACCACTAATTATTATGAGACATGAGGCAGCCAACCGATATTTAAAACTTCAAAGCGCTTCCTGATAATGCACTGCCACGGTCTCATTCGGCGAGACTGAAGATGGTGAAAGATGCTAGACAGGAAGTAAGCACCAAATACTTTAGAAAAAGTGAAACTTTGACAAAGAAACAAAGCTCGAGAGGGGATCTAAGAAAAAGAAGTTACAACTATTTATACTTAATTGTAGAGGTTGCTTCATTTTTAGTCTTTGTTTAGGGTTATTGACAATGATGATGAACCACATATGGGGAAAGACAGCAGCCATGTCATACAATTGTAATAAAGGATGCTTGAATACACCTTTATTTGCAGGAAGATGCTAAGCACTTTGAGATGACCTCTAAACTTGAAAAGTGCTACATAAGTGTAAATTGTATTGTATTCTGTTGTAGTAATAATAATATCCTTGCATTTGATATAGCGCATTATCA